TTTATGCAAAATCGTATACTGAAAAAATTTGCAACTACCTGCAAGAACAATAATTTTCCAATGCTATATTATTGATAGTTTTGCAATAAATACTTATCAACTTTGAAGTTTATTAGCTCAGGACCTATACAACATATATTAACTTTCTTAGCGTCAAATTACGCGGGCTTTCAAGCTCATTTTTTATAGATGCGACGGAATTGTTAAAATTCAAAAACGCAAAAGAATCTATTTGTTTATAAGTTCAAAGTTTTCTAAAAATTTTAAAAGTTGTTTCAAATAAAAAAATTGCATTTCACCAATTCCTTACGATACTTCCAACATTCAAATATGTGTAAAAAATTCGGAACCTATGAGAAAACTTTTGTTTAGCATTGGCAATATCAAAAAAATAAGGGTAAATTCTTAAATAACAAATAGATTGTGCAAAAACTAATGAACGGATGAGGCGCGGGCACACTAATTAAGTATACTTTAGACTATTCGATTCCGGATTTTCATCAACGACAATTAATTTTTAATATCAATTGTAGCTACTCAAAAAATGACCTTGTTTTTCCCCAGTTTTTGCATTTTTGCAACGTAAATATTGCATGCGCACAATTTTAATTACTTGTATCTTGTAGAGAATTTCATAACGAACAAAAAAGGTCCTATACATTTTTGTCTTAAGAGCGTTAAAATATTTAATAACTACGTTATTAAAAGAAATATCAAGAAAAAGGCTATTTTCGACGTTTTTCATACATTTACTCCTCCCATAAATTTTCTATAGGGTTTCACGCATATTGATATTCTTATTTCATGTGATATGAGGAAGTAATTTCTGCAAAAAAAATCATCTACTTCACGTTACATCCAAAACTGTCCACTTTCACTCCACCGACTGGACTATTGGGTAATTTTGGCCGGTAGATCCGGAAATGATCCATTCTAGCACCGTGTTCTGTGCGATTGGCTCGTTCGCGGAACCCTTACAGAGTCCGCAGAGAGCCGAATAAATCAGCTCCAATAATGAGGACAATCGAATCTGATCCGATAGGATCATGATCAGCTATGTAAAGGCCATTGAGATGCGTCTCCATCTGTAAAAAAGTTTTAAACAACAAGGAAGATACCGCGTTAGGAATTTGAAGATCAATGCAGTAGTTGCATAGGCAGGGTTCTCAGTTGCGCCGCTGGGAGTTATCGTGACGAGTGCGGCATGTCGAACGGGCGTCTCGGTCTCTCCAATGCCGGTCACGTTAACTGACGTTCTCGGAAGATGCAGCAACTGAGCTAGATTTTCAGTCATAAATGACGACGCGGATCTAATAAGGGCACGGACGCTTTGAAATCAGCCGTGTTTAGAATAAGCTCTGATGCGAGCGGTGGCGAGGATTTGCTTGGGCGATATTGCCTTGGCGGCAATATGAGAAACAACATTGATACTGGGAGCGTCGGTTTTCGGTGATGACGCCGGCACGTCATCTTCACGTAATTGCGAATTGTTATCAAGGTGAAGCATTGTGTGATGCTTCCGTCTGCACTGTTTACATGAGTGGGCACTCGTGCAATCTTTCGATTGGTACTTCAAACTGAAGCAATTCA